GCGGCGGCGGCGGCGGCAGCAGCGGCGGCGGCGGCGGCGGCGGCCCCTCCTCACCCGAACCTCAGGGCCCTCCAGACCCAGGCGCCCCAACAGTATCCTTTTCACCTTCCTACAGGCCTTTGGGTTCTCGTCGCCGCAGCCCGTGGGGACCCTGCAGTTCAGGGGGGACCCCGCCTGCTGTCTGCCGCAGCCCAGCCAGGAGAGGGGCTGCTTTCAAGCCCCGCTTTGGGCTTGGCGGAGCTTTAAGCCCCAGCCCGCAGCCCTCGGGGGTCCTGGCGACCCTCCGCAGCGCCGGGAAAACTAGCCTCGCCGAGTCTTGCTTCTGTTCCGCAGCCCTTCCTTTGAGATCTGGAGACCCTTCTCTCTTCTCCCCTAACCCCCTCCCCATTATTGGGCAGGATTTGCTTAGTCTTGGGACCAACCTGCCGGAAAGGCTGTTCTCCGATTGTTGTGAGGCTTACAGTTTTCAACTCCTCATCCCCCTCCGCTCCCCCTGGAGCAGCGGAGCTTGGTGGGCTTTCACAATTGTCATTAGCAGTACGTAATAAACTTCAGTGATAAATTTCTATTCGAAACTAGTCAGCTCCTTCCCGAGGTAAGTGGATTTTCAGTCTTTGCTAAAGTGTGCAAAAAGCGTTCCCTCTGGCTAATGTTTTTTTTTTAGCGATTCGGGGAGTTGTGATGTGGTTTGTGGTAGGACACGATCTGAGGAGGATGATTCCCTGTCTGACCTTTTTAAAGGAAGAGGAAGTTTTGGAAGGCTTGGATTATGCCAGATATTTTTAAAGAGCCTTAATTTGCGCTTCCATAGGCCTAATATGTAGAGAGTACCAGAGCTGGAAGAAAGCCTAGTACTTGTTATGTTCCAGTTCACGTTACTTGCTTGGTTGTAGAATTTTGGACCGCTTTTATTGAAAAGTCTTGGTGACAAGATGTTTCAGTAAAAAACTAGCCCCTGAAGGTAAATTCATGAATTCCGCAGAGATTTGTTTAGAAAGGTGTTACCTACCCGGGAGTAACATTTCGTCATGCACTTTCCTCCCCACATCCCTTGTTAGTGTAAATCAGTAAATAATGGTTGGATTTTGGGTGTGTTGTGTTTTGTATTTGTGTCATCCTGTATTTGACTTTTAGAGACGAGGTGTTAGAGCAAATAAGTAACTGCTGCGAGGGGCACAGATTATTTCACAGTCTGTAGTTTCTTGTCTGTATCGATTGCTTTGAAGAAGGGTAAGGCATCTCTTTTCTAGAGTCATTTCAGGTCACTGTTTGGTTTCTGTCAAGTGTCATTTTCTCTGTTCTTTATATATTGTTAGCACACATTTTTCAACCCAGGCAGCGTGGCACAGAGGAAAGATAAATTCCATTCCAGTGTGATGTGTATGCTGATTTCACAATGTTTTTATCCTGCATGATTCTGTTTAAGAATTGCTCACCCAAGAGGATGGTTAGTGTTGCTTATGGAAAACCTGGTTAGTTTTGGTCAATATCTTTAGGTGCTTTATTGAGAGGGGAAAGGTTGACTTGTTTGCCAACTTTAAGGTAGAGTTCAGACTGGATCTCTTAAAAATATTTATCGTAATACTTTGTAAGTAAATTCTTTTCTAACTTTTTTTTTATTGTCCTGCACTTGAGTAAGAGTGTAAGCACCCAGGTATTCTTCATACCGTGTCTTTGAGCTGTTTTGGCTATTAAACAGAAATAAAAAAGGAAGTTCATAGTGTTTTTGATAAACAGAGTAATCAGTGGGGCCCGCAGGGCTGAATGTATTAGTGCTGGGTGAATTTGGTGGCTTACTTGGCACCGAGAGCTGTGACTCCAGTGTTTTAATTTTTTCTTCAGCACATTGCAAAGGAAGGACTTCTAAAAACTCTGAGTTGGTTGTAACATAAAAGTAGCTACTAGTCCTTCAAGTTAGTTTTTTTGTAACAGGCTGTTGTTAAAAGATGACTAAATTTAAGATTTTTCCATTGGCAGTCACTTAAAATATTGTCTGTAGTAATACTAGTTTTTTTGTGACTTTAAATTTTGCTTGTCGTTGAAGCTAAAATTAATTCACACTTGTTATATTCTACAACTGTTTTGTTTGCTTTCCATCTGAAAGGTTGCAATTAAAATATACTTATTATATAAATAATAAATGAATGATGGGTTATAGATAACAGAACATACCAATGGTGAAATTCTATTAACTGGTGGTGGTGAATTGTTTTACAGTGGGTTGAAATACAACAGTTCTGCTTTTGCTGACTTGATGGAAAATGAGAATTTGTATGGGAAGCAAGTGGTCATGGTAGGGTAAACTGGTAGTATCGCAGCATCAAGGTTGGAGTGCAGACTGGGACTTGCTTGGTTGTTGTTATGGCTTTAATAGACATCTAGTTCCTCAAAATATTCAGGCACAGTTGGTTGCACCAAACTAATAAGTTCAGGCAGTATTTTAACTTCATAAAGATACTAGGAAGCAGTTCTCATGGCAAGATGGCTTTCATGTGTATTTGATGTTCAAATGAAAAGTAAGAAATGAGAAATGTTAGCAACAACAGATTTGAGTGGAAACTGGCACCTAAGAAAGCATTAGTTTTTTATTTTTATTTTTATTTTTTGGCGGAACCGGGATTGAACTCAGGCCCTTGTGCTTGCCAGGAAGCGCTTATTCTACTGAGCCATCTCCCCGGCCCCTAGCATTAGCTTTTTTTTTTGTGGTAGGACTTAATTAATAAGGCCATTATAGGTAGCAGTGGCCTCTTTAATCTCAAAGAGAAAGTTGGGTTGAGATGGCTTATTCCAGCTTTCCTGTTAGGAAGCTGAGAGAGAGTCTGTTAAGAATCTTTTTTTTTTGCGGAATCAGGGATTGAACTCAGACTCTTGTGCAAGTGCTTATTCTACTGAGCCATCTCCCTGGCCCCAAGAATCTTTAACAGTGACTCTTAACTTTTTTGGGGAGGAACAAATAGCTTTGACATTTTGATGAAAACTTTATAGATCCTATCTACAGAAAACTGTACACAGAAAATCTTGTTTACATTTTTCATGGGATTCTTGGATCTCCTTTAGATTGAAACCATTCATTCTTAAAATAATTCAAGATAAATGAGTTTAAATTCAGGTGCCCAAATGGTTCTCGGTAAACAGAACAATTTTGCAGTCTGTTATGAATACACAGTGTTCTCTCTATTTATATGGAAAGACTTCAGGGTGTAATTTCTCTCAGGGCTGCTGACACTTCTAGGGAGTCTAGTTACTGTTTTGGGGCAGCCAGGTTGGTTAAGAAAATCAGGGTTCTTGCAAGAACTAATTAGGTGAAGACTTAGCCAGAAAAGATCTGTGTCCTCAGATACATATATCCGAAACCATTATTCCTGTTAGTTTTTTGGTGGTAAAATTTTTCTTTGTTTTTCTTGCATTGATACTTAGTTTTTATAGGTTAAAGCCAGAAATGTTTGCTGTGGTTTTCTTTCTTTTTTTTTTTTTCCTCTCAACCAGAGCTAGATTTAAATACTAATACTAATGCTATTCATTTATGGAGTGCATATTGTTCTGAGAGTTATACATGCATGATATTATTGAATTCTAATAAGCTACGTATTAAACCTGTTTTACAGATGAGGAATCTCACTTTTTTTTTTTTTTTTTTTTGGCGGAACAGGGGATTGAACTCAGACCCTTGTGCTTGCCAGGGAAGCGCTTATTCTACTGAGCCATCTCCCCTGCCCCGAGGAATCTCAAGTGCAGAATAGTAATGTTTTCAAGGTTATGTGATTGGTAAGAGGTGATCTGAGACTCAGGTTGTTAACGACTGACCCTAAGCCCACGAGGACCTTTGGACTCTGCCTGGCTATTTCTCATTCAGCCTGCATGTAGCAAAGGGAGGAACAATATTTTCCTAATGTAAGAGTCAGGGAAAGGTCTTTGTATAGAAAAAAAGCCCTGAAGTGTGATCTAGAACACAGTGATATTGTACGTTTTAATTAGTTCATAGCCACATAGTGCTAGACAAGTAGGTTATCTTTACCTCATAGAGCCTTTATTTATTTATTTATTTATTTTTATTTATTTTGTGTGTGTGTGTGGCCAGCTTAGCCCACCAGGGGACGGGGCTGGCTGGCATGTGGTGCTGGGGGATTGAACCGCAGTCCCTGTGCTTTGCTTAGCTTAGCTTGTTCTAAGTAGGTGCTTTAGACCACTGAGCCATCTCACCAGCCCTCATAGAGCCTTTAAAGCTTGTTTCTGCTTGTTCAGAAGACAGTGGGGCTGGGGATATAGCTCAGTGGTGTAAGCACCTGCTTGGCCAGTGCAAGTTCCGAGTTTGATCCTTACTCAGTACCAGGCCTCCAACAAAATACCTTTATAACTGGCACCTGGAGTTCTGTAGTTGCTATTATGGCCCACAGTCTCTCTGCTCCCAAATTCCACACTCGAGAGTATCAAATATTGAGTGTAGGTCCTCTTCTAGGGAGGAGAGAGGAAGACAGATGTATGATAGAGATAACCAAGTGAGAAAGTTACTTAGCTGCTGCCACTCCGCCCTAGGTTTACAGGTTTCAGAGTGAGATATTTGTGTTAAACTGTGAGTTTAAAGCACCTAAGTACTGCGGTGTTGGCTTTTGAGTTCTGTTATGATGTGTTTAGTTATTTTTTTGTTTGTTATTGAGTTTGGGCATTTCACAATGTAGTTCTGGCTGACCTTGAACCACTGTGCAGCCTAGTTTGGCCTTGAATCCTGCCTCAGCACCATCCCCCTCCCCTGCTGGGATTACAGGGGGAGACCTCCATGCCCAGCTCAATTTTCTAAACAGTGTTCTAAACCCATGTTTTGCATCACAATAATAGAGGATTGACACATTTATTTGTATCAGGCCTCATTATAAGTGGCAAGTTTATGACTTTATTTGTTCATTTATTTAACATCTATTGCATGCCAGACTGATGCACCATCTTAGGTGGAAAAGCAAAGATAGAGCTTTGGCCTCAAAAAGTTGGTCTTGCTGGGTAAACTGTCAGAATATTATGAGGCAAATACAGTGATAACTAACTCCTGTAAGTCCTGTTTGAGGAGGAGGAATTAGGGCTCCCTGGAAGAAGAAGTTCA